CTCCTCTCTCTTTCTCCCCCTCTCTCCCTCTCCTTCCCCCACGCATTCACCGAGCCTCAACACTCAACTTCCACCGTAGTTTCTCGCCGCACTAAATTCCTTCCTTCGTGCCGGTGGCTTTTAGAGGCAAATCAGCTTCCTTTTGGTGTTGTGCAAAATACGGTAATGCGTTCGCCTGCCTTCGACTGCTCGCTCGCTTATATTCCGTGGGCGTGGGCGTCTGTCTCGCGTTCCTTTCTCGTGTGGGCGTGGGTGTGAGTGAGTGGAAGGTTGTATATGTGTTTATGATATAAATATGGGTGTATGTGTTATATGTATGTACGTACACACACGCACGAATCTTTCGTGGTCATCTTCATCACTGTTAGTATTGTTATCATTATGATCATTGTCATTATTCTTATCTTTGGTATTGTAATTATCATCATAATGCGGTTGGCAATATTACTTATGCCACTGCTGGCAATAATAATGATAACAGAGACTGTGAATATAATTTTTTCACATCATTATCATTCATCATTACCTTGATTATTTGCATTTTAAAAAATTCACTGACTATACTATTATCTTGTTTGCTTTGTCAACGAAGTTTTTATCATTTAATCTATCATTATCGTCATCATAATCATTAATATCACAATCGGCATTATTATTATCATCGTGTTTGTCGATACTGTTCATATATATATATTTTTTGCTATGATAGTTATTATCATTCCATATCTAATTCTTACCTTCATCTACAATATCTTTTCCTTTTTCATTGGCGATTTCACCATTATTATTTAACAATAATTATGTTTTAATTGATAATCTTTTTTTATTATGGCATTTAGGGAGTAAATACTAGCTGTTCACATTTTGAAATTGTTACTAACAATAACATCTTATTATGTAAACTAAGACTACAGAGATGAAATATAGTGGTGATGATGGTGGTGATGGGGATGATGGTGATAATGATGACGGTGATAATGATGAAATTAATAATGATGATGATCATAACAAAGATAATGATAATGATGATAATGATAGTGAAAATAATAATGATAATGATGATGATAATGATGATGATAATGATGATTATGATAATGATAGTGAAAGTAATAATGATAATGATGATGATAATGATGATGATAATGATGATGATGATGATGATGATATTTCATGCAATTCCACTTATCCTTACTCCTTTTTCCCAATAAGACTTACATTTTGTCTTCAACATTTGCATATCAACAATAAATCTGATAACAAAAACAAAGAATTACAGAGAAACAGCCTCACAAATGTCACAAACTTCAGAAGTTAGACCCGAAGTTCATCTAAATGAGTCTTAATTAGTGTCAATTAAGTTCATTAGGATATCCAGATTTTAAGATTTCCTCCCCCCCCTTCCCCTCCCTAATTAATTTTGCACCTGTTATCACGTCTATTCAGGTGTGATTTCACTGCTGGACGAGGAATATATGTTTTTCTCTCTCTCGCTCTCTCTCTCTTTCTCCCTCTGTGTGTGTGTGTGTGTCTCTCTCTCCCTCCCTCCCTCTCTCTCTATCTCTCTCCTTCTCTCTCTCTTTCGCTCTCTCTCTCCCTCTCTCTCTCTCTCTCTCTCTCTCTTTCTCTCTCTCTCCCTCTCTCCCTCTCCCCCCCTCTCACTCTTTCTCTCTCATTTTAATTTTTTCTTTTATTTTCTTAACCCTATCCTGTTTCGTGCCTAGGGGGGAGGGGAAGGTGAGGGGAAACTATCGTGGTATTTTTTCTAAAATATTTTTATATATATCTTTTCAAATCTCATTTCGGGAATATCCTATCTCATTATTATTATTATTTTTTTAATAGTTTTTCTCTTATTTTCGTTATTTTGTCCTATTTAGGGGGAATATCCCGGACGTCTTTTTTCCTTTTATTTTATAGATTAGAAAAAAATCTGAATTGTTTTATATTTAATGGTATGATTTACTTTACTAGTGATTATATATTCATTTCGTGTAAAAAATGAATATATAATTTCGAAACTGATGCAGACTGGCATAAGTAAATTAAAAAAGAGAAATAGATAAATGATAAAAATAAAAGAAATGAAAAAAAAACTGAAAGAAAATCAAATTGTGTAATTAATTTAGTTCATACTAGAGAGCCTCACGAAAATAGACAACTTAGAAATGAACAATTCTAGAAAACGTAAAAAAACGGTTTAAGAAAAAAAAACTCTTAAGGACAGTCTAGATCATTCGAGAAAACGTAACAAGGCAATCTAGCTAATACCAGGATACTTTACGTAATTAAGCAATTTACAGTAGTTAATAAAAGAATAGGCTAATTAGATCGTTCTAGAGATTAAAAAACCTTACGTAACTATTGCATTTACTAAAAAGTTGGATACGTAATAGATATATAAGTCATTAATATACTCATGATACTTAAATAAATGACTTAAACTGCTATGACTCAAATTATGACTTAAAGTAATAAATACTTAAAACACTTAAACGTATGTTGAAGATATAGATGCAATTGAGTTTTGCGAAGTCTGGCTTCGCCCGGGCCTTCGGCTATGGCCCGGCCAAGATATAGATCATTCCAAAAAAAAAAAAAAAAAAAAAAAAAAAAAAAAAAAAAAAAAAAAAAAAAAAAAGATGGACTGAACACTTTATGTAATTTCAGAAAACCTAACATAACCAGGCAAATTATTTCATTCCAGAAAAAAATGCGTAAATGAACGATGACTTTTTGCCAGAAACAAACAAACAAAAAAAGATAATTTAGACAGTTCCAGAAAATGATTTCATAAAACGTTAAATAAAGAAACGAACTATATCATTCCAGAAAAAAAAACCTAGAGACGATCTATATAACTCCATAAAAAAACAACTAAACAAACAATCTACATCATTCCAGAAACCGTATATAACCGGACAATCTAGACCATTCCAGAAAATCTTACATAAAGATCCAGTCTAGCTATAATTCAAAAAAAAAAAAAAAAAAAAAAAAAAAAAAAAAAAAAAAATCATTGAACAACACTGACGATCCCAGATTTTTTTTCTTTTTCTTTTTAGGCAACTGTGCAATCTAGATCCTTCCAGAAAACAACAAAAACTTACGTAAATGAACACAATTATCACACACACCTATATAAAAACCTACCAGAAAACAACATAACTTACGTAAATGAACACAATTATATCACACACATATATAAAAACATACCAGAAAACAACAAAAACTTACGTAAATGAACACAATTATATCACAGACACATATATATAACCCTAAATAAACCTAAATGACTCCAGAACACCGTGCGTTCATTAGCCCATTCTCTATCCTTCCAAGAAAAGACCGAGATGGCGGCAGAAGATTCTAGAAACTCTCCCATTTCCTGGCTGGCAATCTGTTCCTCCTCCGGCCATCGCTTCGAGCTTCCTACGCCGGCCTCCTACGCCTTCCTCCGCGGTTCCCTTTGGGCGGCAAGGAGGAGGATATCTTGGAGGAGGAGGAGGAGGAGGAGGATGGAGGAAGGAGGAGGGGTAGGAGGAGGATGGAGGAAGGAGGAGGGGGAAGGGTAGGAGGAGGAGGAGGAGGAGGAGGAGTGGGAGGAGGAGGATGGAGGAGAAGAAGGAGGAGGAGCAGGATGGGGAGGAGGCAAAGGTGGAGGGTGAGGAGGAGGAGTAAGAGGGGGAGGAGAATGGAAGAGATGGGAAAAGGAGTGGGAGGAGGAGGAGGAGGAGGAGGAGGGGAACGAGGAAGGAAGAGATGGTAGGAGGAGTAGGAGAAAGAGAAGAGGAGGGTGAGAAGGAGAAGAGGATGGAGAAGAGGAGGAAAGGGACGAGGGGGAAGAAGAAGAAGAAGCAGGAGAAGGAGATGGGGAAGAAGAAGAGAAGGAAAGAAGAGTTGAAGAATAAGAATAAGAAGGAAAAAAACAACAACAAGAAGCGAAGAAGATGAAGAAGAAAAGGAACAAACAGAAGAACAGACCAAAAGAATAAGAAGCAATAAAAGACGACGAAGAAGAATAAGGAGAGGGGAGAAGAGGGCAAAGTAGCGTGGCTACTGCGAAATTTGTTACTATTTTTTCGCGATGGGAGGGGGAATTTTGAAAAAAAAAAAAATCCTGAAGATGCGGCTGTGGATTGGAAAAATGGCTATGGCGAAGGAAATATATTTTGTGAAAATATCCGTAACTTCATGACACTTATCTGGCACTGCCTTTTTTCTCCATGCATCATCTACTTACTATATTCTTGCAAAACCTAATGAGTTCCGGTGTCGCAAGATGCCTGATGTGCTTTTTCTTAAAAAAAAAAAATAAAAAAAGGAAGAAAAAAAAAAAACGAGAGTCAACAGGAGCGGAAAAGGAAACGCGGCGGGAAAGATTACCGTCGCAAAGCAGTCCTTTTCGTCCACGAATATTGCTCTTAGGGCTAATTCCGCCCCACTAAATCACTTTCCGATGGTTACGTGTGCAACATTTTCACGTGACCTGTGTCATGTAACCGCTCTCGCTCCCATTGGTCGGACGGAGTCAAAAGCACCAATGGCAGCGCGGGCTCCTTTTGGCGCGAACCAATCAGCGAGGGGCTTCCGGCAGAGGGGGCGGAGCGTGTGCGTGACAGGCGAACTTCGGCTCGATGCCTCGGAGACGGTTTCTCGTCGAGCTTGACATATAATAAAAGGTCGTGGGCCCATTAGCGGCGACCGACAAGAGGCGTTAAAGTGCTTTCCAGTGTCGCGAGCTCGCCGTCTTCCTGTCGGCCGCCCGCCCTCCACTCCGCTTCCCATCCCGACGACGTGACTCCGGCCTGAGGTTCCGCCCCTCCCGCCCGCCGCGCCCTCCCACACCTCGCTCTCGTCCTCCCACGACTCGGCAGTAAACCACCAACCTGGAGTTCGCGCGCTTCGGCATCTTCAAGTTCTGCTGGCACTGCGGCGGTGACCTGACCAAGCCTCGTCCAGTCGTGCCCGAGATCCCGAGACCGACAGAACTCGCCGCAGAC